AAAAAAACAAGCTAAATGTGGGTACCTAAGTGGTGATGGATGCCATCCCTCTGTGATTCCCACTGCCTTTTACAACAGCTGCTTACACTCAGATTTTTGGTGAGAAAGTGAAGATAGTACACAAAACGCTGATGAAGGTTTTATATTCTGCTGTTAGGTAAGGCTTAGGCCTGTTTTTGCACTAGCAAGAATGGAAACCATCTTAGTACAGTGACAGTTTCTATGGTACCTTACACCATGTCCCTCAGAAAGAACATTACCAACAAAACAGACTTCTATTATTTTTGTAGTTTTTGGCAATATAGCTGCATCAGCAGTAAGGGTTTGCTGGTAGGAAACTATCAAACCAAAACCCCACATCTTAGACCAATCTACTCGTACAAGCAAGAATTTCTAGTCTGCCTCTGACGCAGATAATCTCTTGTAGCAGAGCCAGGGGTTCGAATTGAATTGGGCCAGCTCAGCCCATCAAGCTCATTGCAGGTCATTAAGCTTACCTGAGAAGACCTCTAGTCAAATGTCCAGCTAAAAGTTGGGGATCCTGATGGATGTTTTATAAGAGGGAGTTTTGGTTCAAATACTGTGTTATAAAGTGTTCTTTCTTTTTGCTGAAGAAGGATGCTTCTTGCATCTTAGCTCATGGAGCTGTTGCCTTGTCATGGCACTGTATACAAATAATCCAGAAATGTTTCATCATAAATTCTGTATGTAGTATGTTATTACAATGTAACTATACTAAATCAAGGTGACTGCTTTTTATTGGACTGTCTCCCAGTAAACTGGCTTACCCTAATGATACTGAATGGTAATCATCGCCACTTAGTGGGATTATATTTTACATAAAGTCCCTCTAATAGTGATGTATTTAGTTAGTGCCAGATAGTTAAATGTTTATCCAAGTGTTAAATTCCAAGTGCTATTCATTAAATACACAATGTGCCAAATAAAGATTAACTATTACATATTTTTTCTTTGGGGAAGACATCAGTGAATAGCAGTTCCAGATAATAAAATTGACACATCTTTTTTTTTTAGTTTGCATTTTTGAAATGCAATACAGAAGCAAAGGAAAATGCCTGCCTTTTGAAAATGCAATACAGAGGCAAAGGAAGCTGTCTACTTTTTTTTTTTTTAAAAAAGTTATATTTAAACATCATGTAATTCACAATTTCAGGTTTGAAATTTCATTCTTAGTTTTGCTCCAGTCACTTATATCTTATAAATGTGATCTTTTATAGATTAGGCTTTCCTTCAGCTACTTTGACAGCAGAACTTATTAAAAATATCAGTAGGTAAAAGATTCCTTTGAATGTAGACCTACTCTTTCAATGAGCAGAGGATGGAATTTTACAGCAGGCATTTCAGCTCACTTAAGAGCACTCTTAAGAGATTGCTTAAAAGGACCATGAAACATTTCCTGCATATATAATGGTCAGCTTTCAAGTTTGATTTGATGTTTAAACTAAATCGAGTTTGGAAAAAGGATTTTACACTATAGGCCTAGAATTTCAGTTACAAAGTTTGAAAACCTAAAGCATGATGGTAACCTTTACCCTGGGTCCTTGTAACAATTCCAATTAGTATGAGTACCAAAGGAGGCAGATGAAAATGGCCACACAGGCTGAGTATAGAACATGAAGATGCTGAGGCAGAAATGTCAAACTCTTCTGTCAACTTTGCTACTGAAGTGGTTACATCCTGGAGAGGGTGAGTCAGAAAGTGGGAGCAGGGGAACAGCTTAAATAAATCCACCAAGCTATGTGTCAGGGTTCTAAACTGGATCCAGTTCTGAAACTCGAGGCTTCCAAGCTGCCTAACTTTAATATTCTGCCTTGTGCTGTGAAGTATTTGTGGAAGTATTGATATGCATATTTCTTCATTGAAGGTAAAGGTGACAAGTATTTTTATTAACTTACTTCATTGGTACCTGCAACAGGCTATTCAAGGGGTGGAATCTCATCCTGAAATTCACTTTTTTACTTTGGATGTAGCTTTTTGAGAATTTAATCAGTGGGAATCCTGCAGCTAGTTGATTGATGAATCTGTCTCTCCATCTGTCCTTCCTTCCATGTTAGAACTGAGATTTTAATTACAAACATCTGTGTACTGTCTCTGTTTCTTCATTAAAAATAGGAATTGAAGTTGCCCTGTAGCTGCTGACAGAGACAGAACAGAGCAAACACCATGATGGAAACATTTGCACAGCTAAGGGAGAATCCTCCCTCCCTGCCTCAAAGGTGTCTAATTTGAAGGATAAGTGAGCAAGCCGATTGTATTTTTGGGTATTTCCCCATGTGAGGAGGAGTGTGCCAAAAAGAAATTAAATTTATACAGTTATTTTTATTTATAACTTATTATTAAAGGATTTTTTTTCCTGTAAAACTAACTCTTGATGACTGGAACAACCTTTTTGGCTAAGGTATGCTAAGCAAAAGCCTCCTTATCAGTGGTACTTTCTTTGTTGCATGAGACCACATAATTTTACTGAGGTTCTTTACAACTCACTTTTTGTGCTCTTGTAGTCAGACTAAAATCTTCATTATGTGGTTTGAAAAATACAGTAGGAGGCTGTGGAGAGAGACGATATTGCTTGAGGGAGGCTGTATATGGAGAGAACATCAGTACTTACTCTTGGTCTTGTGAACCTTTTTACTGTGGTGGTTAGGAAGATGTGCCAGTTTGAAAGATATCCCTTGTTCCCTTCATTCTCTTCCCTTCTGCCTCCTGAAAGTGCAGATGGAAGGTTCCTTTCATGATATATGTGGCTCATCATTTATTCATGTGTTCATCTTTCTGATGAGAGTACCTGCAGGAGGAACATTTTAAAGCCAAGGTAATTTTCTGCAGTAGTTTCAGTCGGTTTATAAAACATCTTTGCAGCTAGAAAGACATATGTTTTTCAAAAGAGTACATGGCAAACATGGTTTGTTTAAGAAAGAGGACACTCACAAAGCTGTTTATCTACAATTCTTTGGTGAGCCTCATTTGTGGTGTGAAGCTCCACAACATGGGAATTATTGCAATGCTAGTCATCACTACTGTTGAGTTACTAACAACAGTGTAACTTAAACTTGTTGTTTATAGTTATGGTGAACCTATAGCTTTCTTCTGCTAGCGAGGGCATAGTATAGCACTTCTGACAGATGCACCTTTCCTTTCCTTTCTGTTCCCCATTTCTGCTTTTTCTTTCACTTGAAGTTAGACAAAATGATACAGAGAGGAGAAAAGAGTGAATAGAGGGAAGTGAAATTTCAGAGGACTTGAGAGGGGAGAAAGTGTAGGATTTAATTTGGGGCACTCACTGAATTTTTTTCCTGTACTGATTTCTGCTACTTAATTAAGCAGCCATGGTGCTCAGCTCTCTGGCTCTGATCTATGGCATTAAAAAAACTTCCTGCCCACACGTTTTATTATTCTGACTTCAGGCACTGCAAAAACCACAAAAAGCAAGGATATTGACATTTTAATCACCCAGCTATGACATTAATAAGATTTTGACACTATGTGATCTAACATACCTTTTGTCTTGATATCTAGTGATATAAAGAGACATCTAAAGCTGCGGGTTTAACCTTAGAGGGTTATTCCCCCAATTTTGCTTCTGTGGCACATCACTATTATATTGTGTGCAAACGGGCTGTTTCTAAAGCAACATTATTACAGTCCTACAGTTTCACTGCTTTAAGATCGGAGACAGTGGGTGCTCCACAGGTGGGCTGGTGCAAGCAGACTGAAAATCAGGCTTTAAAAGAAAGCATTTGAAATCTGGACATCGCATGTAGCAAAAGGATCCTGAGGTCTAGAACCCTAATGTCAGGCTACCTAGATTTCTATGTTTCTTTCAGACACAAAACTAACAGATTTGAAAGGGGGTGCAATTCTGCTAAAGGAAATGTTGGCTATAATTTCCTTTTTGGCCAGTATAGAAAGCACAAAAGAAGAATATGTGGCAGAGATTTTGCCTAGATCTTTCTTGCTCCTAGAGAAATATTTTGGTTTTGCTTGCTCTAACTACAGTGGACAATACATTGAAAGAGCAATTCAAAAGATGACAGCTGAAATGAGTTTTCAAAATAATTTAGCCTCTAATAATTTACTAGGAAGCCCAGAATGAAACTAGCATGCAGAAGCATATTCTTAATAGCTAATACCTCTTTCATGCATACACACACACAGACAGGGAGCCAGTCAGGCCTTCTCCAGCCTCTGAAGAGAAGAAATAAAAACAAGAATTGAGGGTTGCCTATGCTAAAGCCACTAGCAATTTATAATTCTCTCAGCAAACCCTACAGTATTTCTGCCAGGGCCAGGCAGTGGTATGAGCACCAGCCCTTTGGCAAGCATTGGTGTGTGGTCTTTCAGTCTCAGGTTCTGCAGAACGCTAACTCATGGTTTTTACAATCACAGTGAAAATACTGCTGTATGAACATGAGCCTTCATTGTCCACTCCAAAGAATAACACCACACACACTTTCCTTCATTTATGTCCCTGTGTATGTCCCTTTATGTTTTACGTATTTTTACAGGACTTGTGTTATATGAAGCTGAGCAAAATGGAGACAGAGGTGCATGGGCCTTAATGAGTGGGTAGCTCCTGCAATAGCAATGCCACTCTACAGTTGCAAGTGGAAAAAAACCCTAAGGAGTAGAAAGGCTTAGTTTGATTAAGGGAAGTTATTTGCTTTACAGTGCGTCTGCAGCTGTAGTCCCCTCCTAGCACAGTTATGCCTCAGGTGCATCCCACAGAACAGAGCTGAGAACTGCACACACGTGTGTGCACGGAGTCACTCACAGGACTGCTAGCTCATGTTTTGCAAATAGCCATGAAGTAACTGTCCCATTTGGGCACTTTTAAGAAATACTTACATACCTATAGCTGTGCTGAAATCAACCTCAAGACCTCCAACTTGGTATTTTCTTCTACATGCATTTTAACACTTAGTACATGAACTGAGTGTACAGTTGACTTCTCAGACAGTTGAAGAGTAGTTGAAGATCTTTGTCTGGACTTTGCAGGGTAGCCCTGTGCATCATTTGCCTGTAAAGTCTTCCTCCTTTAAAAGAACATAAAAAAGTAACAAGCAAAGATGCTATATTTAACAAGGCAATTAACAATTTAAATAAAAATTTAACAATGTTTATATATAAGACATCTTGTTCCAATTAAAATACCCTTTCATGTGTAAGCATTTCAAAGCTCCAGAAAGATTGGTTTACTATAACTAAAATATCTACTAATTACATGTGACTTAAGAAATTAATTTGCATATTTCAGCACAGTCTTTTTTTTTTTCCCACCTTCTTTAATAGAACTTTCATGTGATGAACACAGAATCCCTGGAGGGAAAAAAAAGGATTTATTCTGCAGATACAAAACAGAGTAATGTGCCTGAAGATGTAACAGTAATTTTCTTGGCACATTCCCTTAAGATGCCTTATATGGAGGTTCTACTATAAACTGCTTTCAAAGATTTAATGTCATACTGTCACCTCTCTATTTTGAAACTGGATTAATTTCAGTATATTACACCAAGTGTAAATTGTATGTGTTCTGCAGAGGAAGAACTTAGTTAGGGGTTAGGTGGACTTGGAGTAGACAAGCTGAAGCACCCTGTGGCATTTTTTATACCTAAGGCAGTTCCTGGCAAAAAAACACCTCAGAGAGCACTGTGGGCTGCATAGTTAGTAGCAATTCTTCTGCCTGATGCCAGGGTAATGTGCTTTTTCCCCAAAATAATTATGCGTGAACACACACCAGGGGTAGAGCAGAGGTAAGAGTGTCCCTGCCCAGTGACAGGTATACTCACTCACTGCTGGTCAAATTAATCAGTCTTCTCTCCTTTATGACTAGCAAAAGTTTGACATTGATACTCAATCTGGGTAACAAGAAGGATTCAGATATTGGTTCGAAGGGAAGAGTTTATGCAGGTGTGCCTCCTCTACTGTTTAAGATTAAGTAAAGATTCACTGGTTTGTTTTCATTTGTGTGATCGCACCTAGCTGATCTCCCAATTTCTGACAGGCCTGTTGAGGTCTGTGCTTTTGTTGGTGCTCACTTGCTTATCTTAAGAAAATAAATCAGGGTGTATCTGCTACACACAACTTGCCTGGAGAAGCATTTAATTTTATTTTCCCTCTTCTTGCAGGATATATTTAGTTCTACTTATGTAATTTATGCTTTGCACAGTAATGAGTCCATCAAACTAGAGATTATAAAAATAAGACTGGATACTGTATATCTCAGCAGCATGACAGGAGAAAGTGCAGTAATGTTTCCTGCCTACTGATACTGGTTCACAGATACCTACATTTTGAATTTTGAATTCTGTACTTTGAGTTTTGAACTTAAGGGAGAAGGAGGAACTCCTCCTTAGCAGACAGCTAAGATGTCTGGACCAGTCTTTAGTCCTGATATGATTTTCTCCGAATTCAAACTTTTCTTTCTTCTGTATATATCCACAGGAGAATACAGCTCCTAAATATATGCTATATGTTAGAACTTATAAAAGCTTCCAAATAAGCCATATGCTTCTTTACGTTATATCTTTTGAGAGGCTTTCTCAGTGTATTTCCAAAATTGCAGTTAAGTAAATTGTAAACAGGTTAATAATAATTATTAATAATAATTAGTATTTACATTATGCATGAGATGTTGGAATTAGCCTTTATTGATACCTAAGCTGTTTGTAATCAAATGTCATCAATGGCATACTGTAGATGAGTGGTTCTAGCTAAACACCAACATCCCAAATTGGAATTGAATACAGAAATAGGAGGCATAACTGCAATCCAGACTTGAAATTCTCTCTTTTAATCTATTTTCTGTTATCTAGACATAACCAGCTCCCAGCCACTGAAGCATATACATACTGTATGTGAGCCACAAAACCCATGTGAGTCACCTCTGCCAGGCTCGTCCTGGCTTCTTTTCGGAGTCAGCTTGAGTGGATCTCACCCATGCTGGGAGGCAGCAGGATGGTCCTGGGGCTGCTACAAGTCAAAAATCAATGGCAGCCCTGAGAGTGGGGAAAGGGAGGAGGTGGAGAGTGAGTGGTGAGCCCAGGGACATGTTGTTACCAGTTTACAGGTGAAGCACAGCTAAAGAGTGGTTGCAAACTGCTGCTCTATAAGACCAGCTGGTTGTGGTGCACAAAATATGCGTTGACTTGTTTCGGGGGAAAACAGAGGATGTTGACTTGAAAAAACTGTTGGATTAGTTTAAGGCTCCTCCTTTGCTATTCAAGAGTATGGAGTATCCCTCACTTTTCTCACAGACTTGAAAGATACTTTATAAAACCAAATTCCATTGATTTCTAGTATAGCTGCCCGCCCTGCCTGTCTTGATGGCTCTTAGGCCAGACTAAGGGTGCTTCTAAGAAACTGCAGAGAGTGGTGCTCAGAGGACTGTCTGTTCAACCCTAAAAGGTCTACATTTGTTTCTCACCAGTACTGGCAAGCTGTAGCATTATTTTAAATTTTAACTTACACTTACGCCTTTAATTAAAAGTGATGTCAGGGGGGTTGTGCATGTTGTACTGCTTAAAAATGGCCCTGTGAGACAGGGTTTTCAAACAGCAGACTTCCATTCAGGTGGATTTGTTTTGCTTTGTGAAAGACATCAATTGGAGCTTCTCAGAGTCATTTTTGAAGAAGGGAAGCAACTTCTATTATAAATGGCTTAAGGAGCCATGCTGCTTTCTGAAATGATAGCTGCCATCCAATCATGCTGTATGTCACACTAGTATTCCTCTCAAATATGCCATTATTTAAAGCATTAGCAAAATATGTTATAGCATCTATAGTATCTTGTCTTTAATTGCAGTTGAATCAGTGTTAATTTTCAGTTTGTTACAGAGCTGTTGGCCAAAAATATTAGGGGGGGCCTTGTTACAGAGCAGCTGCATGCTGAGAGAGGAAAGGTTTAGTCACAAATCTTTGATCTCTACTACGGGAAACTCGGTGTTCTTTTCCCCTTTTCCTTCTACTGATTCTACATTGGAGCTACTGTAGCTTAGCAGAGTAACATAAAAAATATTTGAGTATAAGAGAAGTCTAGACCAGGATCATCTTAGCTCTCCCTCTTCTCCAGTTCCTGATTCCTACACTGCATTAAGCTGTACCTTCAGCTGTAAGGACTTCCCCCATAATTCCTTGAACGTTTCCAATAGTTCATCCTTTCAGAGTGTCATTCCTTGACTTTTCATAGTACCTTAGTCTGCTGCATATCACTCCATGACCTTTAGTCTTTCTACCAGTCTCTCCAGTACTTTCCCTATGTATGCATAAGTTTATATCATATTTACTTATATAGCAGTCACCTAATAAAGATCAATTGACTGGGAATGGCAAAGTATTAAGTTCTACAAGCACATCAGATAAAATAAATATGGTTACTAAAATAACAGTTGCCTTCTTATATGGGAAAATAATGACTTTAATCATTACTTTTGAGAAGACTTAACTTCCCTTCTGCTTTTCTTTCTTTTCTTCCCCAAAGCAAGTTGATGCACAAGTCATTTTTGTGTGATGTGTTTTTCAGATATGGAGACAAGTGAAAAAATCCAGAAAAGCGGAGTTCTTCAGGTGTTCGCGAATCTGTTGACGCCACAATCTTCCTGCACAGCAAAAGTAGCTAACATCATAGCAGAAGTAGCCAGAAATGGTGAGGTTTTCTACAAGAACTTTTCTGCTGGAACATCTTCAGTTTTTCACCTCACTTGTCAGTATGTTTTACTTCATTTATGTTTTCATTTTATAGATTAGACACCTTTCATGTCTCTCCCTTTCACTCCTTTAGTTTTGTCAAATTTTTTTTTCTCTACTTTTTAATGCAGTTGGCCTGCTGGGATTTTTTTTAGCTCTTACTTTCAGCTCTTACTTGCACTTTTTAAGACAATAGTGCAATTTATTGGGCAGAAATAGTACACCACTGATGAAATGCATTTCTATATGAAATACACGTAGAAAAAGACATGCACCATTTGTGCAGCCAGTTTTGCATAGTGCCTTTAGTTACAGCAGTAGCATGTATACAGGTAGTTAAGGGATAGCAGATCATTTCTTTGGTCTGAGGTTTGTGATAAGGTTATTACCTTTATGAGGCCTTTGATACCACACCAAAACCAGTTACTTCTGCCTAAAGAGCATTATACATGTTAGAGTCCAGGGTCCCAAATGAGAATTAGGCATGCATCTTTGTATGTATTATATACATATAGTGTATGATATAACATAGGAGATAATAAAAGACTATTTAAATTTTTCTTTATAAAGAATTATATTAAACTCACCCAATACCCTGCATACCTTGAGGTCAGAAGAATGGCCTCATATCTGCAGGAGGGCACTACGGGCAGACCCTGTGATGAGGGTAGAGGCCGACTTTTCTCACCCCTGGACTTGCTGCTGTCCCAGCAAAAGAGGCAGAGATTGCATTTTGGACTTCCCTTCCCCAGAGGCCAGGTAGAGATGCCTCTTAACTGCTGTCCTGGCAGCCTCATCCCTCTCCCTTTGTAAACTCTTATGCTGATGCCTCTTCAGAGAAAGGGTTACATTACTGCTGACTATTTCCACATTCCATTTCCACCTTTTCTTTGGAATCACAATAATACAGCTTCTTACTGATAGCCCCATGGTGACCTTCTCCACCCATTTTACTGAATTTGAGACAATGCTATATATGGACATTCAGAAACTACATTAACAAAAAAAGGATATATATGTTTATTTTTTAAGTGTTAAAATTATTTAGATAAATAGCCAGTAAAAAATGTAAACATAGAAACTTCAACTTAGAAATGTTTCAGCATGATAGAGATTTATGAAACAGTATTACGTGTTTTTTCTGTAATTAATGAATTCATAAGTGTATTTAGAATATCAAAGTCAGCTGTGTATCCTCCCAGGCAGTCCTTGTAGCTCCTACCTGAGGAAAGTTAAAAATAAAATCGGTGTTCACAGTGGCTAAACTGATTACTGTGTATTGTTTCATGAAAGATTCTCTTACAGAGCATTTTAGCCAGTACCTTTCAAATCTGAAATAATACATGAAATG